TGGAGCCAGACAGTAGATTTCCCACCCTGACTACACTAACTCACTGGCCCTGTGACATGAGTCAGGTTATTGTTTCTTTTTAAGCCTCAGTTTCCTCATCTGGACGATGATAATATTACCTCTCTTATTGAGTTGTTATGAGTATTAAATTGGTTAAATCATTTGAAACAGAATAGTGTCTAGTAGATAGTAACTGCTATTATTAACTTATAATTCTACTTATAATAATTATTATTTTACAAATATCAGGAAGTACTTATATTACTGGTAGTTGTAGTAGAAGCAGCAGCAGCAGTAGTGGCATACATGTATCACTGTGTTTCCGCTCACTCTGACCTGTATGTTAACATGCAGCCTTTTACGTTATTCAAAACAGGGATCTTCCTGGTACTTTGGTAACAGAAATACCAACAGCTATACTATCCCTTATTTTATGTAAATAAAATAACCAGAAGCTTCTGAACAAGCATGCAATATATGTATATGTGTGTATGTGTGTGTGTGTGTGTGTGTGTGTGTGTGTGTGTATATACTGTGTATGAAACAGTGTCTACCAGCTTCAGTAAAATATATTTTAAAAAACAAGTTGGTCGTTCAGGCTAAACACATAAGACAATCCACTGCATGACTCCAAGAGGTGCCTTTGAGTTGTAGTCTATGTCCCTGCTGCTCCTGTAGTGGTGCTGCTATAGAATACAAAGGGAATGCCACGCTTTGCACTTGGAGTTGTAGATCACACAGTGGCTCTGTATACATACACCTACCTTTACCAAGAGAAAAAAAATGACACCCAAAAATATATTGTGTGCTTTATCAATTAGAACTCAATAAGATACATCAGCACAATATGTTAAACAGGTTTCCATACTCCAGACTTTTCTAAGTTTTAAAGTAATAATTACTAGTTATAGTAGTCCCCAAGAGAACCCTCTAGAAATTCTTAAATATGCTTATTTTCATTACCTTGAAAATTCTTAATTTTTGTTTATATTCAACGAGTCAAGTCCAGTAGTCATGAGAGGATATTTAAAAGTACATTAACTTAGAGGGTTCAAAATGCTGATGCCTGACAGCTTACTCTGGTCCAGAGTTTCTTTTTTCTATGAACTCATGAGCTGCCTGTATAGACACACACGGTATTCACAAGGCCGAAATTACAAAGTTAAAGTACTAAAACACTTGAGCACAGAAAAGAAATATATTAATTGAGGGGGAGACCAAGGGCAACATATGTAACCTAAACATCTGTACCCCCATAATATGCTGAAATAAAAGAAAAAGAAAAAATAAAAAAGAAATATATTAAGTCACCAAGATCTTCAATGTGAACAAAACTTCAGTTAGTGTCAGCTCTAATTCTTTCACCTTTTATCTTTCGGAATGGGAATCTAAGGCCCCTGTTCATTGGCTATCAACCATCCCTCTGTTGCTACGAAAATGAGGACTGACCCATCCTATAATGTGACAGTGTTTGAGTGCCATGAGTATATTTAGAAATAAAAATAGCTTTAATTACTGAAAAATATATCTTTTATAATCAAATTGAAAAAGAAGAGAGAGAATATTAACTTGATAATTTAGAAAAAGGAATAAAAATCATGAAACATACTGATAATTGAGCCAAAAATTTTGGGGTTCTTGATATATCTAAATAAATATTTCAATTATCAAATTGGGAGTTCAAATAACAGTATAATTTTCTAATAATTCTTTGGAAAAAAGCTACTTATTCAGCCTGTTATTAACTTTAATTAAGTTAAATTTCTGGGCATGGTTTGAACAAAATAAGCAAAATTACTCAGATAATCCAATATATT